CACGGGGCATTTTTCCCACACATGCGGTGCTGAGTTAAAATAAAAAAAACATCTTGGTGCAGTCATTTTTTTTTGGCATAATACGTATTTCACACTACATATAACAATAAATAAATAAATAACAGCCAATACATTATTAGTGCATGAACATTATTTTAGTGCACAAACATTTTTTTGAAGTTATCATAACAAACAATAATAAACACCATTACTACTACTATATGCTGTATTAGTGCAAAGTGTCATGTACATATGCTTTGTGCTTAAGGAATCGCCAGCCCTGCAAACCATTTCAATATTACACTTGCTAAATGGGCCGCACAACCAGCCTCGTTCATCCAGAAGTAGTGTGACCTCGCTCGATGGACACACCTTCTCCGTTGCCTTTCATGAGAGAGGGTATGCAACGCTGGACATCCCAGCGTCTTCACATTTACCAAGCAACAATGCCTTATGTAATTATTACCCAACAAATCAACCACCTCTCTCATGACAGCCAAATCAAACGACCCATAAACAAGTACAATATTGACTCTGCATAAGGTTAGGATATCAACAAGCCAACACATTATTGTATGCAATGACTCTATATTACACATTACATTCGAATCCACCAGTACTCATTGCACTTTGAAATAGTAACGGTGTTTTGAATACAGAGCCTGATACTTCGATTCCAACTTCCATAAATCTATCTGGAGTGCTTATGCAACGCCCAAAGGAAACGGCTGCATACCTGTTTTGCCTGTTATTGATACAAAGCTGACGCATTAATATAAGTGCGTCCATTTTAACCTAAGTAAAGGATGACTAGTTACAAAAAAACGTTCAGAATTCCGAAATATTTTGGCTAACACTTTACAATTATATCGAAAATCAACAGGAAAATGATTATGTTGACGCGAGTAACACTGCAACACTTTCTCAATGACTGACGACAGATATGAATGTGTTTCACCACACTGATTCAAAGAACTAAACAATAATCGTGTTGCAATGTCATCCGCCGCGCGACGTTTTGACGTCGATAAAGTAGGGTTTACGAGCCACCCAAACAAAAACATCCAAGGCCTGTTTTTTAAATGTAATACTTGGATTCAACCTCGGTGAGGCAGAGGCCAGTACTGTAAAAAACACAATAAACATTAAAATGATACAAAAACATTTGTTGGGAGCTGCGGCCGGCTCCCCCCGGACCTTCCGCTTTGGGTTTCCCTTTTCCCTATACTTTTGTTGACCGTCCAAACTATTCCTGCGCCGAAAATGTGTTGTTGCATTCTGTACGGTCGACTTTATTGGCGTCACTCTACCTGTGTATATGCCCTAAAGGGTCTCTAGACGCACTGTGTCACTGGAAAGGGAAGCTCGAGCGGGAGTGAGGCAGTGGCACTGCGTGTCTGACTCGGGACGGCAGGGGAGAGGGAGAGACGATTGCCATGTCATTTCGAGACTATCGAATAACTCTTTCCGGGCGAGGGGGAAGGTAAAGGCAGCGGGGGACTTTGTTTCCCGAAGAAGAACCTTCTCTTTTGCGCCCCCCCCCCC